TCTTTCTGAATATAACTTTGCGATACACTTAATTCAACGCTATAATTCTCAACGAACGTCTCACGTGCTCGACTTCAACAATACTCAGTTCAATTACACACTCTCTGACTGCAGTTCAATTACTCATTGTTCCGTCACGTTGTGACTGTCTTATATATACCAGACTACCCCCAATCTAGTAGTCTCCCGATAATTCACGAAGGTTCGAGAAGGACGTGGCGTGATACTAGTCACGTGACCTCGCTGACGCAACAATACTTTTTACAAAGGCAGATGGTGTTACTAGATGAATTGTGTTACTAAGGCTCTATAGGTGGGGGCCCGGCATGGCCAGATGGTTAGGGTGCTCGACTCGCAATCTGTGGGTCGCGGGTTCGAATCCCCGTCACACCAAACATGCTCGCCCTTTCAGCCATGGGGGCGTTGTAAAGTGACGGTCAATCCCACTATTTGTTGGTAAAAGAGTAGCCCAAGTGTTGGCGGTGAGTGGTGATGACTAGCTGCCTTCCCTCTTGTCTTACACTGCTAAATTAGGGCCGGTTAGCGCAGATAGCCCTCGTGTAGCTTTGCGCGAAATCCATAACAAACAAACAATCTATAGGTGGATGGTCTTACAAAACATATTGTGTGTGTGTGTTTTTACATAGGTAGGAATGCCACTTATGGTTTAAACAAATTACTTCTATGACAGTAGTTCAAGCCAGCATCTAGTGTTTCTGTATTCCATAAGTATACTACCCAATTGGCCCTAATTTACGCCCCATCGGTATTTTTATACAGCTTACTTTGTGTGACAGCAATAGTAACCCAACATATAATCTACTTTTATTAGCGTAATTTTGATTTGAAAAAAAAAGAAGAAAAACAAACACGCATGTACACACACTTGTTAGCATTTAAATCAACAAATCACATGTAAAAAATAGAATCCAAAACCGCACAAATACTATAATTAGCACCCCTTTTGCAACATCCTCCGGGGAGGTAGTTAGGGCCAATATGTTATATTATTTATTTATTGCTATTTTCATTAAATATATCATTTAATATATCGAAAGTCATTATATTTTAAATTTGATTTATTATTATTATAGAGACTTTTGCATTGTTAGCTTAATATATGTTTATTTGTTTTTTTGTAATTAAGCACAAAGCTACACAATGGGCTATCTGTGCTCTGCCCACCACGGGTATCGAAACCCGGATTCTAGCGTTATAAGTCCACAGACATACCGCTGTGCCACTGGTGGGCCTTAATATATGTATTTATGGCTAACCTAAATCTTCTAAGCTAGCCAAACCCCCGTGATATCTTCCTGGTATAACAGTCGAAAATATCTTTGACAGTTAGAGTACCCAACTGATGAAACAGTGCATTCGAATTTTTATATTTAAGAATAGCATATTTAATCAGCTATATTCATTATCAGGTTAACATTCATTTTTGATCTAAGTAGCTATTTTGCTCTGATCAGAAGTTAACGTTAACTAACAATTCCCAAATTCCCATTCCTTGATGTTGGAGTTACTAAGACTCATAACTCCCAGAACAAAATAATTTACAGGAAATCCATACATATGGTATATATCTTGACTACGAATCATACCACTCCAACATAGTAAAAACCAACGTAATATCGACGAAGGAAGAAAAATACATCACTACGACCTCCCTTAACAATGAATATGCAGAACCAAAGTCATAATTTGCGTGGAGGACATGTCCTACCCAACTTTTGATGTAACAACTCGCCCCCTTCCCACTTTTTGAAAAACGGGGATATGTTGTTTTTCGGCTTAATTATTTACCTCTCAGTAATTCTTATGTAAAACCAATTGCCACAACAAAGTTTGTGTTTGGACCATGCAGCTACCTCAGCCGTGGTGCAGCTTGCGTGAAGTGTTTGAAACATAGACAAGAATTGGTCACTGGCAATTAAAGGAAGGAGATCAAAGAATTTCTAAATGTATGGTTTTGAAATACTGGTAAATTTTGATAAATTATGTCCATGATGTCACTACTGTAAATCTTAAATAATATCTGTTTGGGCAAAAGGATCTAACTGTAAAAAGTGGTTGTCTTTATTCTTAGTGTAAAACAACAAATTAAGGACATTTTTTAAAACTGATAAGAAACTTATTTTAAGATCTGTATTATAGTTTGTTTTTTTTAGAATAAATGTTTGTATTAAAATTTTGTTTATCTTTTAAGACGGCAATGCCATTTAGCCTTAGTTTTGTTTTTGTTCTAGTTTTGGTTATGAGTTTGTTGTAGTGCTATATAATGTGGTTAGAGCTTATTTACAATCAGGAAGCAAATACAGTTTTTGACCAGTAAGGCATAAAGTCATCAAAGCATTAAGACACAAAAGACACAATATCAGTAACTAATTAATAATCAGACTTAGTGATCGTATAGGCTGTTACTAACCATGACAATGATTGAAATCCGAGATCGTTAAAACCTTACTGTAAGTAATCTTATGTCGACAATGTAAGTATGATATAGATAAACAGTGTTTACCTTTAGAATATAAATCCACATGACAGCCCAGAGAACTATGTCTATATACGTAGGTACAACCTTACTGTTGCGTCAGCGAGGTCACGTGACTAGTGTCACGCGACTTCTCTCGAACCTTCG